CCAATACGCTATTATGAAAATATACACAATTAATAAGGATTTGTACGTGTGATATAGTAATTATCAATGGAAGAATCACAACGGGGAAATGACAAAGGAAAGAGCAAAGTTAATGGGGGTTATAAATTGTGGACGTTGGAAGAGGGCAATGAGTTGCTACAACTCATGGTTGATGCCGCCAATCATGGATGGCGTGATAGTAATGGAATGCTAAGCAAGCAAACGGTTGAGAAAAAAATTCTTCCTGCTCTTAATGCAAAACTTGGATGTGAAAGGAATCATTCACAATACTTAAGCCGATTGAAATGATTTAAGCAACGATATAATATTTTTTTCTGAGTTTATGCATCATAGCTCTGGGTTCAGGTGGGATCCAATCACAAAGAAGTTCACCGCTAGTGATGAAGTGTGGAAAGATTATATTAAGATGAGCTTCTATTTTCGAAAATATATTATATGATAATTTATTATTTTGTATGTGTATGCATTAATTGTATGTATTTTTTTTCCAGGAGACTCCACTGGGCTAGTCTCCATAGGTTTGTCAAGAAGGACAACAACATCACTTGGATTTGTAGTTCCCATCGCAAAGTAACCAACCAAACCCGTAAAGATGGGTAAAAGGATGGTACCCAACAACCCTAGTTGCCAAAAACCTGGCCCAACACCGTGAAAAGGAGAATCAAAGCTATAAACCCTCGGTGAAAAGCCACCCACGCCAAATCTCTGGACAACGGCCATCTTCTCCTGAAGGTAAGGCTTGAGATCGCAAATCAGACGACGAAGGGGGCGTGAGGAAATCCACCTCCACTGTGACCGCCTACCCTAACAAAGCAGCTTGCACCATGGTCGTTGTTGACTTGGAGACTATTGGCACAATAGTAGAGCAGACCCATTGAAACCACCATACCAAGTCAACCACCAAAGACGTTGACGCACCGAGGAGAAAAAGAAAGACGAAATCAATGCCCAAGATCTAAGAGAGACATCAACGAGACCAGCACCCCAGAGTCGAAGAGAGTAGTGATGGTAGCGACTCCACGTGGAAGAAAAGTGACTCGGCGCTGTCAAGTCGAGGAGGGTGATAACAGCGGATGAATGTGGATGAAAACGAGCATGGTTTGGCTGAGGAGGGGATGACGGCTGAATCTGAAAAACCTAAACCCTAATATTTGACGCACAGCTCTCGTCGTGTAGCGAGAGAGTGACCCCTTGTTTTTTGCACTAGCCAATCAATATAAGACTTATTTAAATTATAAAGGATTTTGCTTTCGGCTTTTACGGAAAGAGGAAAACTATAATTTTTTAATAACATCAATCATAGTCTGATACATGCAAAAAAAGCTCATTAAAATTACGTACACAAAAAGAAAAATTTAAGTACACATATAAGATTGTCATTTGTGTGTAAAGTGGAAGGACTCCTTGCATTTAATTAAGGAGCCGAGTATTTTCCTTATTTATATATTTTCAGTTATATATATACCATTCTCGATGTTATATAGATTTTTATGCAATTATTGAGAATGAAAATATTATAACGCGACTATTCCACATAAAAGTTTGATTTTAGTTCAAAATGATCAATAGGCGTTCTATTCTTTTCTTTGGCGCAGATGGGCCATCCTGGATTTGAACTAGAGACCTTGCCGGTGAAGAAAATAAATGAGTTTTATTACGGGACATCTCATGACATTCATATTGTTCTATTATGTGCCTTTGGTAGACCTCATAAAATAATTGTTCTAGTATATGAAATATATCCACATTACTCCATATATACGTGTACTAAACAAAAGTGATTTTCCCTTATAATGGTACATTGTCAGCTATACATACCGCTGTCTAGAATCCTTGAAGTATACATTATAATTCACTTGTACAGCCTACGAGGCATCATTATATGCAAACAGTAGGCCACAAGAAAATAGACATGTGCATATTATATATAGACGTACGGGTCATTTTCAAGTTGATTAATTCTAGCGGGAAAATCTGACGGACAACAATGTAAAACAGCCCTCCTATAGGTTTCTCAGCAAGAAAGTGCAACAAGATAAACGAATACCAGCTATCCTTTGTTTTTGTATCCTCAACATAGAAACTGCAAGGGAATAGAATTTTATGAGAATATTTTCTTTTTCTTTTCAATTTCTTAGCTACTTATCGTCGAGGTTTTCAAGTTCCTAGCTGCTTTGAGTCTTTATGCCATATAAATGATGGCTTCTCAATCATCAGTAGTAATATTCATGACGATGAAATATTACCTTCTTGCCATTCTTCTTCTGTGTATGCTGCACATGAGATGCTCTACAGCCCAAGTAGCTGGATATATTGGAAAGGAGAAGGATGCTCTCGTTGCCCTCAAGAACAGTTTCAACTATACGTACCTAAACACTAACTGGATGGGCGCTCCTTGCTTCAAGAGTGAGCCCTCAACTTGGTACGGGATTCAATGTACTGGTTTCAATGACATTGGCCGCGTGACTGGAATTGTGTTGGAAAATATGCCACTGAACAGAAGCATCGACGTCTTCGCTTTCACCAACTTGGCTGAGTTGTCTACCCTAACCTTGAAGAACAACTCTCTGTGGGGAAACATGATGGATTTTTCCCTCAATCCGAAGCTGACGGATATCGATCTTTCGGACAACATGTTCTCTGGGCAAATTTCACCATCGCTTTTGAGCCTTGGGACATTGGAGTCATTGCAGCTTCAGGATAATGGATTCAGCGGTCCAATTCCTTGGTTGAAGCAGTCCACCTTAAAAGTATTCAATGTCTCAAACAACAATGTCAATGGATCGATTCCGATGACTCAAGCTCTCCAAGCATTTGGCTACGATTCGTATTCTGGCAACCCAGGGTTGTGCGGCAAGCCTTCTCCGATTGCTTGCAACTCTTCTAACATTGATGACAACCCAAGCCCCGCTGATTCAGTTGATAAAACTCCCAAGTATAGGAATAAGCTCAGTTTGTACATGTTTCTTTTGGATGCTGCTGGTCTTGTTGCTCTAGTTTTGCTTTTCATTCTATATTTCAAGAAATCGCATAAGCTGAAGAAGATGTTGAAGGAATTTGAGAAAACTAAATCATCAGCATCAATGATCAATAATAATAATAATATTGATCAGGAGGAAAAAAATGATGTTGGCGACGATAAAACGAAGACAGAAGGTCACCGGGATCCAATAACGAGACCTAACCCTGCGGCACAAGAACATCAGACTAAGAGAGGTAAGCTGGTGTTCGTTCGTCCCCAACATAATAGTGAGGGGTCTGTTGGGAATCAAATGACAGATCATGAAATATTTGAGATGGCAGATCTGCTAAAAGCCTCTTCCGTAGGGTTAGGTAAGGGAAGTTTTGGAAATAGCTATAAAGCAGAGGTCACCATTACCAATAACGCAGTGGCGGGGGGCAGGCAAGTAAAGCAAGCAGTGGTTGTTAAGCGGCTGAGGGATCTGAAGCCACTAGTTAACGAGGAATTTACAGAGCCGTTGCAGCTGATTGCCAATCTGAAGCACCCCAATTTGCTGCCCCTTCTTGCTTACTACTTGTCCAAGGATGAAAAGTTGCTGCTGTATAAATACGTTCCCAACGGAAATTTGTTTAACCGAATGTTTGGTACGTACCTCTGATCTGAGTGGGTTGGAATTAATTTATCAATTAATTTGATATATATGTAAACTTTGCTTAATTAATATTTATGAATTACAAAAGGTAGTTAGACCAGTTGGCCAAGACAGTGTGCACCTGCTTCTGTGCACTCCAGTTGTCTCTCCAGTTGTCTCTCTGTACATTAGAGTAGTTTTGAATATGGCCTTACTTAGGAATTGTTATTAATTTATCTATATGCAGGAGAAAGAGGCCCGGGTCGCATTCCATTTCGATGGAGCTCAAGGCTATCAGTTGCTCGAGGCGTTGCCCGAGCACTGGAGTATCTCCACCACAATGCGACATCGGCAGCTCAAAGCAGCAGCAGCACTGCTCCTCATGGAAACCTAAAGTCGTCAAACGTTCTTCTTGACGAGAACGATGGGGTTCTTGTTTCTGATTATGGCTTCACTTCGCTGGTTGCACTTCCAATTGCAGCTCAGCGTATGGTGTCGTACAAATCACCTGAGTACCAAAAGACCAAGAAAGTTTCAAAGAAGTCTGACGTTTGGAGCTACGGCAGCCTTGTTTTAGAGCTCTTGACCGGAAAAATCTCAGCTTGCACAAGCCCACCAGGTGCGAATGGCATAGATCTTTGCAGTTGGGTTCACCGAGCAGTTAGGGAGGAGTGGACGGCTGAAATATTTGATATGGAATTAACTGTGCGCAGAACAGCCGGCAGTGGGATGCTTAGACTGCTAAAAATTGCAATTCGTTGCTGTGATCCGTCGCCTGAGAAGCGACCGAAAATGAAGGAAGTGGTGAGAGAGGTAGAAAGTATAAGACTTCTTCAATCAGAAATAGTTGAGGATGAAGACTTGTCATTGGATCCGTCCTTAACCGATGATTCCCTGTCAAGCACTGCCCCCGCCCCGCAAGAGTCAGCTAATAGCTTGGGACATTGCTACAACGTTGCTACATTCCGCAATTAAACCAATGCTTTGTTTATTGTATCATACTTTTTCAAATCTGGACAAAAATTATAAGGCTTATTTTTTTATATACCCCTGAAAGTGTATTTGAGTCTAACTTTGTCCCCTGAAACTCATTTTGTCTCACTTTACTATATTTTTCATGCATAGTTGTCTCACTTTACCCCAATTTTCACAAAATATTATTAAAAATTAAAAATTCAAATTTTAAATCAGATTAAATATTAAAAACATTAATATATTTATATAGGAAAATTAGGTATTAGACATAGATAACTTTACTTATTAGTATTTAAGACATTTGATATTTTGGTTTGGGTTTTAATACCTAGAAAAGAATTGTTATTTTGGATTAGGCAAAAGAGGAAGACCAGACTTGTTGACTCACCTTACATTAGTCATTAAAAAGACAATTATACCCTTTTCATTTAAAAACCTAACCCAAATTCGTTAGTTTCTCAGATCTCTCTCTCTCTCTCTCTCTCTCTCTCTCTCTCCCCGCGTCTTCTCCCTTTCTCCTCCCCTGTGTTTCGACCAACACCGACAAAACCCCCCAGCCACTGTCACGTCGGCCACCTAGCCACCGGACCGGTCAAGTTTTGACCGGCGTCGCACCCCAAGCCAGCTCCGACCTTCCTCCTACCTCTGATGCTGCTGTTTTGCCGGAAAACCCCGGTTTTGATCGGATTTTTACTCGGTTTTCCAATCCATCGATCTCTCTCCTCCGGCCCTCAAATCCTTCGATTGAGGTATGATTTTCTAGCTAGTTTCCATTGTCTTCTTCATTTTTTTTAATAATTTTTTTGGTTTATTTGCCTCTGTTTGTTTGCAATCCTATTTTTTTTGGTTTATTTGCCTCTATTTTTTTTTTTTCTACAGAATTTCAGTCGTGTTTATGGTTGGTGTTTTCTATCCTTTCCACATGTTCACCTCACACCTTTTAATGAGATTATCCTTTTCTTTGGCCAGTAATGGCTATTCATAGCTCTGATAAGTAGGGCTCTTAAAGTGTATCTTTGGGTACAGTTATATATGAACCTTCAGGTCCAATTTAATGTCATTTCTTTTAAGTGAAAGTGGCTTCTCAATTGGTCATTTGTTTCTACGAATTGCTTATTAATTTTGTATGTAACCTTCAGGTCAAATTTTGCATGTTTGAATTTTCAAGGCTTTTACACTGCAGTCTTGGAGAAAGATGATGTGTTGATATCTGTAGCATCAATCAGGTAGTACTGAAATGAAGCTATTTGTAGGGAGTTGATTTTCCAGTTTTCGTATAATTTTTTTTGTTAGTTGCTCAGTTCTTGTGATATTAATTTCATATCAGACTTCACATCAATAAAAAAATCTCTTGTTTAAATCTCCAGCTTGCATCCTTATTATTTAGTCGTTGGTATCTGTTGTCATGGTTTTTTTACTTTTAAAAAAATTGTTCTATTGCACCAATATCTGTCGTTGAAACTGTTCTATTGCAAAAGTTTAATTCTTTGGATTCTTTTAGCATTCAAGAATGCCGTTCGAATATAAAATAATTGATGGATCACATCATAGGAAAACCTGATGTACCAAATGGTTTCTCATATCTTTTCTTTTTTCTGTGTGGAGAACATTAATTAGGTTGCATTGACATTGACTAGACCTGATGGTTTGGTGGTTTTCAATACTTGGCTTTGACATCTTTGTGCATGCATCACTATCAGTTGGGTACATGTATTTGGTTCTGCATACCCACACTCTGAACTTTTCTTCTGCATTGCAGAAAACAGAAACTGCATCGCAGAAAATGGAAACTGCAATGCAGAAAATGGAATGTGCAATGCAAAAAACAGAAACATGGATAACCTATTTTACATTCTAGATGGTTTTCAGTCTGATTCCCTCTCTCCCAACATGTTTTGAATAATAAAAAAACTATTGTTTTGTTTTGTTTAACTTTAGAGCTGAGCATTTTTGCCCAGTCTCAGCATTTCAGTTCCTATTTTTGTATTGCAGTTTCTCTTTCTGCATCGCAGTTTTTTTTTAATTTTTAAAACCGTTGATCGTTTATATAAATATTGTATAATTGAATAAATATTACAAAGTCAAGTTTGGTGTAGTGGTTTGTGAGTGAGCCCTCTTCCTTTGAAGGTCAAGGTTCGAGTCCCTTTAATGACACAAAATCTTCTTTTTTTAAAAAAAAGTGAATAAGGGGCAACGAAGTTGGTCCCATACAGACGGTGGCGGTCGGTGACAGCGGTTGCTGGCTGGCGGCGCTGGAGTCCGGCGGTGGTAGGTGGCCGGTGGCGATAGGTGGCCGGCGGTGAAAGGTGGTCGGAGGTGGCCGGCGGCGGCTGGTCGGAGGTGGCCGGCCGCTGGTGGTTGGCTGGATGTGGACATGTGGCATAGTATGCTTGCCTCAGAAGGAATGGCATTGTGTGTAATTTTGATATTTTTAAATGATATTTTTGTAAAATTGGGTACTCGTTTTGGTCCTTGGCCTTATGCTAATTAGATGAAATTGTATTCCTATCTTCCAAATTAGTAATTATATTGTATTTTAAAACTAAAGCTCCCTTTGTATTGTTTGGGAGATGGGTAAGGCAAGGGAGTGGGTTGTGGCGGGTGGAGGTGGTTTGGGTAGTTGGGGAGAAAAAAATATATAAAGGGACCATTAGCACAGAGAGAGAGAGAGAGAGTGTGTGGGTCTACGGGGGGGACTGAGGTTTGGGCCGCTGGTAACACATAGAGAGAGAGAGAGAGAGAGAGAGAGAGAGAAGAGGAGGACGGAAGCAGAGGGGAAGACGAATGGGGAGGAAAGGGGGACAGGGGTAGGGATGCATTTTTTGTTTTTGTTTTAAGCTTCTTTTTTCTTATAAATTAATTTTCTTTACAATTTTTTTATGGATCTCAAGTTTCAAATTATTTTTAATATTTAATCTGATTTAAATTTAAAATTTTGAATTTTGAATTTAAAAGTAATATTTTATCAAAAATGTGGTAAAGTGAGACGAGTATGTGTGAAAAATGGGGTAAAGTGAGACAAAATAAGTTTTAGAAAGCAAAGTGAGACTCAAATACACTTTCAGGAAACCAAGGTGGTTGGTGTGAGTAGTTCGGCACTCTCATTCCTTAAGAGAGGTCAGGGGTTCGATCCCTGCTCTCGTATGGAATCACCACTTTGGCCAGCACTTTACCCTTTACGGGTCGACCCGGTGTGAGCGGGATTAGTCTGGGTTGTGGTTAAGTCTTAAAGGTGCCACCCATAATTGGGACCCATCCAGAACCACCTCGTGGTTTAGACCCAAAAAAAAAAAAAATATACACTTTCAGGAATATATCAAAAAATATGCCAAATTATAATTGGCTGCACTAGACAACCTATATATATACTTCGCAAGTGCTAATTATTAGTTACTAAATTAATGCGAACCACTTGTTTGGATTGAAAATCATTCCCTCAAATTCTCGCAAATCAAATATTGTTCAGTTACTATTGTGATAAAATAAAGGGGTTTTTGTAAAAATACTATTTGAATTTATACCTCAGTTTCAATTTGTCACATTAAAGAAATATTTAAGAGAAATGCCACCTTAATTTTTCAAAATCCATGATTTGTCATCTGATTTTAACACCATCCAATTTTCCATCCATTTTAAAGGTATTTTAGTCTTTCCATTTTCAAGGGTATTTTAAAAATGAAAAAATTATTATAATTTTTTTTATATATCTTTTAAACAATTAAAATTAGAAGAAAAAAAAAATCTCACCTTCCCCCATCCCATGTGCGCCACCGACTGCGCCAACCAACCCCGCCCACCTTGAAATCCATTCCCCTTTCCCTCATCACAACCCCTTCCTCCTTCTCTATCTACCATGAAACACCTACCCTCAGATCCACACACAAATTCCCTCAGCCCACCCAAACCGAGTCCACCTTTTTCTTCTTCTTTTTTCTTTTTGGTATCTTTCCATATGCATATTGAAATTTTTTTCATTGTCATGCTCAATGAACACCATGAAATTTTTTATGCATGCTGAGAGAGAGAGAGAGAGAGAGAGAGAGAGAGAGAGAGAGAGAGAGAGAGAGAGAGAGAGAGAGAGAGAGAGAGAGAGAGAGAGAGAGAGAGAGAGAGAGAGAGAGAGAGAGAGAGAGAGAGAGAGAGAGAGAGAGAGAGAGAGAGAGAGAGAGAGAGAGAGAGAGAGAGAGAGAGAGAGAGAGAGAGAGAGAGAGAGAGAGAGAGAGAGAGAGAGAGAGAGAGAGAGAGAGAGAGAGAGAGAGAGAGAGAGAGAGAGAGAGAGAGAGAGAGAGAGAGAGAGAGAGAGAGAGAGAGAGAGAGAGAGAGAGAGAGAGAGAGAGAGAGAGAGAGAGAGAGAGACCTATACTTCAATTGTTTTGCTTCCGCCGCGCCACGCTACGCCGCTCGCTCATCCCATGACAATTGGGGTTGGGGAGAAAGTGAGAGAGGTCTCTCTTTTCTCTCTTTTCTTTCTTGAAAATTGAAAGACTAAAATACCCTTAAAAATATATGGTGTTAAAGTCAATTGACAAATCATAAATTTTAAAAAATTAAGATGATTTTTCTCTTAAATTTTTCTTTAAGGTGACAAATGAAACTAATAACAATTTTTATAATAATAGTCAAATGGCTAAATGATTCTAGACACTGCACCACACTTCTTATAGACAGCGCGAAAAAACGCTATAGAAGATTATAATAGTGAATATATATAACTTACTTTTTCATGAACTATAATTTGAGTTAGATCTTTCGAAAATGTTCTCCAGCCAAATTTTCTGACAACATAATGTACTTATATTGTGAATCTGAAGCATGTTTAGCGACATGAACATCCAAACTAAATTATTATTCATGTTGATTGTTTTATAAGTCTATCAATAGAACATACCCTTTATCTCTATTTATGAATAACAAAATAAATTTTTTATATATCATTTATATATCATTTTGCAATTTCAACTTTGGCTTTGTCGAAGTCACGATCTGGTTCTTTGTCTGAAACTTCTTTACCCGGATAAAAACTTGTTTGAAAGATTATCCAACGTCTCTTTTGGAAAGTCAAACAGAAAATCGCATGGGCTGTGTCGATACTGGGCTTGAGTCCTTGTGCAATTTTAGATTTTAAGATAAAAAAATCCCTAAATGGACTTTTGTCCATTTTCGATTCAAACAACTACAAAAAATCAGGTCAGACTATAATGAGTGGAAAGTTATGAGTGGTAAGTTATAAGGGGTTCACTTTATAGCCATCAGATCAATCCAAAGGCTAGGGAGAATTGAGATAAAGTTTTGCAATCGGGTAGGTGAGGAACCCAAACCCGAATTTAATATCCAGCATTGAAGTTGGTCCCAAAAAAAAAAAAAAAAAAGAGGCAAGTTCGAAGTTTGAACAGAAAAAATCAGTTCGAAGTTTGAACAGAAAAAACCCATCACTCTAAAACCCATAGCTCTGAGAAACTGCTAAGCTCTGAGAAAAGGTTGAAGGCAACGGTTAACGATGGTTGAAGGCAACGGTTGAAGGCAGCGCAACTCCATTCTCTAAACCCTGAAAAAGTATTTATTTTCAGTGGAAGGGGAAGTGGCGAAGCAGTGGAAGGGGAAGGAGAGAAGCCGTATTTGTTGGAAGTGAAAGGTTCCATTTGTGGAGCAAAGCCGCACAAAGACCCCGCACAGACACCTTGCGATTGTTCAATAACCAACATTTGGTGAGTAATTTATGGAATTTGAGTTTAGGGTTAGAGTAAAGGTTTTCCCCAATTTGTACCATCAATGTTGTTGGATTTGGCATCTCTTCCTTGTGCTTCACTTGCATGTTAATTTTTGCTTGTGTATATGTTAAAAAATGAATGAAAATCAAGTCAACAACATGTTAATAACATGTCAATAACATATCAATAATGATATGAATAAGATAATGGTGTTGAATTGGAGGAGACCCT